AACAATAAAAAGTTTTTATACAAAATTGTAACTTTATTGAAGTCAAGAGTAAGGTTACAACACACGAGACCGTAATTTTTGAAATCTTTCTTTTAGAAATGAGTTTAGAAATTAAAACAATAACTTGATATTTGGTACTTATAGGAGGTAATGTTCTTCAACGAGTACCTATGTACCATCACTATATACCTTCGGAAACAGTGTGGTTCTTAAGACAGTAAAAATAAGATTAAGAATATAGTGGGAAACATATTCCCACTGCCTTATTAAGGGAATACAAAAATATTTTTTCTTAACTATACAAGCTGCTGAGCTTGAAGCAGTTTTCATAGCTGGATGGATTTGTATCAACGATATGTTTCAACTATCCATTGCCTGTCATGTCGTCTCGTTCTATCGCAAAGAATCACCATTTGATGAGAGCGAGAGCAAAAACGAAAATTGATAGGCCACACCGTGTGTTTTTTGTCCCGTATTGGGTACAAATGAACCTATGATTGGTCTAGCTAGATTTAATAAATTAGGTGTATTTAAAATCTATTAAAACGCGGTTATGAACGTCAATAAATTCATAATTCGGGCTTAAAGCACTCTGACTCTTTGAAGCCATGGGAAATCACAGGAAATCACAGTTTCACGAACGCGTTATATCGAGCACACACTCGAATTCTTTGTTTACATAACTCGTCTCACCAAAGTACTAATTGCTCATTCAGTTAGGGAAAATCCAATAAGTATTTACATTTAATCAGGAAAGGTATTATATGAATTCACTCTGTCCTAAACTCTTTGGTTACACTCCTATATTTGTGCTGCGGATGCTGTGCCATCCAAATTGCTGGTTTACTTGAAATCAAGTTGATAAATGCCTCCGTATCCATTTTGCAAAATTTGCAACGCGTTTCGGAAAAATGGACGTTTGAATTAGTTCAAACTGTCAAAATGATAATGCCAGTCATTCAACATTAATTTTGTTTACAAGCGTCAGTAACAATAAAAAGTTTTTATACATAATTGTAACTTTAATGAAGTCAAGATTAAGATTAGAAGTCAAGATTAAGATTAGAACACACGAGACCGTAATTTTTGTAATATTTTTCTTTTAGAAATTAATACATTAATTTGATATTTGGTATAGGAAGTAATGTTCTTCAACGAGTACCTACTTAGCATTTTTTGTCCCGTATTAGGTACAAAATGAACCTGTGATTGGTCTAGCTAGATTTAATAAATTAGGTGTATTTAAAATCGATTATGAATGTCATTATATATTGCTTTTCAGGCTTAAAGCCCTCTGACTCTTTGAAGCCATGGGAAATCACAGTTTCACGAACACGTTATACAGGGTGGAATTTTGTAATGCCACCTGAAGGGAAAGTACTCTTAATACTGTAGATAGAAAATTTTACTCAAAGAAAACATTCCTTTATTTTTTTAAAGAAATAGAACTGCATTCAAAGATTTCCATAAATTTGCTTGCTACACCCGGGAATCAAACCCACTAAAATATGTAAAAAATTACACCCTGTATTTTTATAGCCTCGATCGTTAGGGTTAAGTATAAGGATGAAATATATCTTAAACAAAAATGAAGGGAAAATCATGAAATTTTAAATTATTGTAATTATTTACAGAAAATTGTATGGTATGGTGGTAAATTTTCGACTTTTTTTTCCAAAATCTTTGAATGCAGTTCTCTTTCTTTTCAAAAATAAAGGAATGTTTTCTTTGAGTAAAATTTTCTACCTACAGTATTCTCCAGGTGGCATTACAAAATTCCACCCTGTATAGAGCACATACTCGAATTCTTTGTTTGCATAACTCGTTTCACCAAAGTACTAATTTTATTGCTTATTCAGTTAGGGAAAATCCAATATTTACATTTAATCAGGAAAGGTATTATATGAATTCACTCTGTCCTATTTATATTTGATACGATGATTATACAACTAGACAGATAGACCAAAAATAAGCGGGCGATTGCTGCGATAAAGGGTCATTGCTCATATTCACTGCCCTAAAATTATATGACAAGTCCTAATGTATAGATGACCCACGCTGAACTGTCCCGCCAAACTCAATGACAGGGGGGCGCTACCATCGTTCAACTATATGGTTTCCAACATGGCAAAAATCGGAACCAGCGATCCGGTATTGACAGTGGCGCCCCACTGTCAATGTCATCGATAGGACAGTTCACTATTTTGGAACTATAACATGACGTATAGCCTGACCAGAAACATAAAAACCCTCGCCATGTTGCGGAAAACTAATGGTACTAATTTCTTTTAATGGCAACAGTAACTGAAAACTTCATTATAATGTCACCTTGCATGTCAGTTTATTGCTGTCATAGTGTAAAGAAACTTTATTTTAAATGTGCGCAATTGATTTTGTGAATAAATTGCTAAAATCTTTTTATAGTCGTGAAAGAAAAGTGGTTCACAATGTGTTATTGTATTTGTCGAAGAGAAATACTAAGGGTTCGGACAATATTTTCATTGAATAATGTTTCCGACAAAGGTTGTCAAATTGACTGACATGTTTATCGTATAGTACAGTCAACTATNTTTTGAGGTACGGAACCCTAATAAGACGTAAGGGATCATAAACATCTCGTAATAACTTAGGCTTAGTTGCACCACCTAACGATAACCGTGGGTCTAGACAAAGTGCAAATTATAATCGCAAACCAGTCGAAAACTGGTCGAAAAGCCCCTTTTTTGTATGGAGTTTTGACGGATTCTATTTTCGATTCGATCAAAAAGTGCGTTTTGTCTAGGGGGGCCGGTGCTTTTTGTATAGTTTGACAGATTTTTGACGTTTGTTAAAGTTAAAGTAAGATGGTGCAACCCAGAATTAAATAAATATAGTAACAAAGGCACTGTATTAAAGTCCATTACTCTCCGTTTTATAATATTTAATAATGGTTGCACACGGGATACAATGTTGCATGTAGATAAAAGTTGCTGATTTGAAACAAACCAGCATCAACAATTTAATATGTGTAGGTATAACTTTACGACCACGACGTTTTCCCTCTTAGACCTGAGATTGTCTTCAAGGAAACATTTCTTTCTCTTTGTATGTATACTTGAAAATGTTAACAATCTGTTACTCTTTCACCCAAAAAGCTAGTAGATTTAGATAGCACTTTGCAGTAATTAAAATACCATTAGAGGTTTTTGTTAATTTTCATTTCGCCCAAGCAGTACAACAGCCATGCCAAGGTATCTCACGACTGAAGAACTATCCCTTCTTTAGCTGTCAACTAATGGACTATGTAATTACGTTTCAAGATTGTCCAAAAAATACTCAGTAGTTGTGACTTAGTTACAGTGTTACGAAGAGTGTTATTCGCGGTTCTTCCAAGAAAGCCTCCATGTTTTGATATCATTTTCCTAACACATTAGGGGTCGTAATACAATATAACTTCCGATGCTCGGATCAAATAAGGTAAATTTACCAGCCATTGGCCGGCCTCTTCTCTGCGACACAAAGGCCCACTCAAGACGTCACTGTGATACCCTCGGCGCCAGCTAACCACTTTTTTATCGATTTTGTCATAGAACAAAAGAGCTATTCATTCACGTTTGATTACATGAGTGAGACTCAAACCAATGTCTTTTACCGTAACATCGATATAGTAATTTGCGTGACGAAAGGAAAAATAACAGTTAAACAAGAAGAATCTATACAACGGACTTTGATCAGCTTACAAAACATGGCACGCTATATCGGATCGTTTCAATTGGAGCGGACTTCAAACCTCAAATCGATGAGTGCATTCAAATGCAAATAACGAATGTGAATCCGATGCAGTAACAAAATTGTTTCACAAACGTTTATATTTATCGGCCAGCTGGATCAATGTCAACCTTCGAGGAAAACTGTCAAATGCCGATTTCTCCTTGATAAATCTTTCCTCATAGCTTTCCTTATTGTTTATATAAAAGGAGCTTATTATTGTATTGTTATCTTCTTACATAGAATAATAATATTGAATACCAAAAACCATTTTCCCTAAATAAATGAAACTTAAGTTTTTATTTATAGCCTGACCAGGAACATAAAAACCCTGGCATAGAGGCGCGTCAATTGCATTTGATAGTGCAACACTGAGTACAGTCATACCTGTGTTAAATTAATAGGCTAACTTTATGTATCAGGATTCAGGATTACGGGCTAATTTGATATTTTCATAAATTAACGAAAAAATATTATTATAGGTAACCTGGTTTAAATAAATTAAATGAAACCATCAATCGAGCTAGTAGGATTTATTTTATTATATCATTGCAAGGCAAAAACTAGTCGAAAATTAAAGAAACTACGTACTTATATCAGTTCTGGCTTAGGTTCTGGCTTGAAATGTAAAGTTGTCTGAGATAATAACAGATTAAAGGTTAAAATGTTACACACTCTAGTTAAATGTTTATACTAGGATGTTAAGAAAGCACAATCAAATAGAAATTTCCATGATGGCTAATCGATAAAGTTATTAATATTAATAACCTGTGCCCTGATCTGGCAGTAACCAGATGAAATCATTAATTTGCGTATTTATTTTATCTACTGATGATTGCAATACAATGGGATGTCATCTGGCACGTCTAAATATCATGATGGCCGTAATTATCATGTATTCATTTTGTCCTCTAAATTGTAATTCATACTCAATCAGATTACGCAAAATATCAGTGCAATGAAATTAGCAAAACTATTGTAGAGCAATTACAAAACATTATTTTCATCTATCATGTATTGTTATTATCTATATATATAAAAGAAAGTCGTGTTAGTTACTTCGCTTATAACTCAAGAACGGCTGAACCGATTTAGCTGAAAATTGTCAGGGAGGTAGTTTAGAGCCAGGAGAAGGACATAGGATACTTTTTATCCCGTTCGAAATTAAAAAAAAGTCTGCTTATTTATTGCCATTAAGGCGGAACAAAGTTCGCCGGGTCAGCTAGTTAAATATAATAGTACAAAATTAGGCTTTCAAATCAAAATAGAATCGGTAAGAAGTAAAAACATGGGTGAAAGTTAATTTTAAACTTCTGGAACTCTTTTCGGATATCTTCCTGGAATATAATCGGGATTATTTGGATTGTACTCCCAGATGAGATACTCAGGCTCGTTGAGGTACAAGGGAGGTATCTCGTCACTCGGCTCTCTCTCCTGCCCAAGCAAGTTCTTATTGCGTTCCAGCAACTCGTTCACTTTTGCCTGCGTCTCGTCAGATATATCTGTAATACAAAATAAAACATGTTATCAATGGACAAATGCGTCGCAATTATTTAACGATGTCTAGTCGAACAAACGACATCATTGTGCCATTATCATTGTTACATAAATAAGAAAATGTTTAATTTGACTGATAAGTATTTCTGCAATAATTTACAAGATATCTCGCTATAATTGTACCTACAAATTTTTGATAAACTTATTGACTTACGAGTTCTGCGTAGATCGACTCTGAGAACTTTCTTGTTTTGCTCAAGCGCACGGATAAGGGTCTTCTCCGCGTCGCCGGACAAGTCATTGGCGGCCATATCTAATCTGAGTAAGCCCCTGTTGAGGCAAAGCAGACCTGCCATCTGTGTGTAAACAAAAATGCAATATACATTTGTAATAAGAAGTTTAATACGCACACCAAATACGAATGTAACTCGCGATTAAGCCGGCACATGCTTGCTTAATAGGCAGGAGCGTTAACCACTATCTAGGACATCGCAATTAAGTTATATTTAAACTGTTGGTATTGTGATAAGGTAGTGGCGATAACTTGAACCTATAGGTGAATGTACTAATTCATCAAAGGGCCTAATTTATTTATTCGTTTACCTTTTCTGCAGATGCACCATAGAAACCACAGGAGTTAACGATTAATGTTTGGGGTTTTTCTTTGCAACGGACAAATGCTGCGGCAAACATAGTTGCACATTCAATCGACATTGGGTTGAGGCTGAAATCTGTTAAATAACCTTATTTATGACCTTCTCTACAACATTCTGGTGCGATTATCATGATGAGTAGACAGAAATATTACCCAGTAATTCGATAGGCGCCGCCGGTTTCATTTGCAATGCATAAGCTATTCCTTGAACCCCGACCTCCTTGAATCTGTTGTTGGCAATCCGCACTCGTTTGACGTTATTATGTACAAAAATAAAACCACCTAACGCTTTCATGCCATAATCCCCAATTTTGCAATGGTTAAAGTCCAATTCCTCGATACTTTCCTTCTTCACGAGACTTTGTAAAATGATTTTGACTTTAGAGCAGTCTAAATTGCTTCTATTAATGCGAAAAGTTCTCAAATGTCTCAAATCTTCGAGTCCCCTGCATAAAGACTCGCAATCAGCCATAGAAAATTCAAAGAACCTCGTTTGATATTTGTCAGCCAGATTGCTCAGGCCGAATACTAATGATATTTCTTGGAGGTTGTACAATCTCATTAATACTGGTTCGAGAGGAATGTGGTCGTACACTTTAGGCACGCTAAAGGCACAGGTGTCTTCGACTACTTCATCGTTATGGACTGGTGGTGTGGGCTGGCGGACCATTTGTAATTGGTTCAAGCTTAGTTCATAAATGTACGGACTAACCTAAAAATAATCAATATTAGAAAGGAAGAGAATTAACAATTAATAATTATTCAACTACAGATCTTAACAGAATAGGTTTCTGCGGTAGCAAAGTGAAATGGAATGGGTGACATGTGCAAAGGAGTTGATAGGGCATACTAAATATAATTGCCGCATACATTTCTGAAGCACATAAGTCTAGGTAACGTTTGACGTAAACAAAACCACCTCACCGCATTGCTTCACTATCACAGGACCCTACCAGTTAAGCGCTGATATACTTATAGTAATTACCAGTTTAGAAAGTTCAATAGCGTCCTCTTCAATAAACACATCGGGATTAACATTCTCCAAGTAGTCTTGCAAACAGGCAGATAAGAACTTTCCTTTCCAAAAAGTTACCCCAAGTTCAACTCTGGATGGAAACTTGGTAGCGAATGATCTTTTCCAAAATTGTTCATCCTAGAAGCAATCAATTTATAAAAACAGATTTTTGTAATGTAAGTGTATACTTATGTATTTTGTTAGACTCTGGACGCTTATAAATTAGTGAAGAAATAGAAAAAAGAATAACAATTCAATCAATAGTGCTCACAATCATCATATTACTTATGATATTGTTCTTTGTATTACATACACGTTTAGAGACTGGATGTTTCCTTACGAAATTTTTAGTGTTATTTTACCTTGATGTGAGGAACACAAGATTTCAGAGGGATATCAGCTGGGTACAAATCCATGAGCATATCCACATCCTTTTGCAGGATTCGCTTCAGGGGATTAATCCTATGGAACACCCTAGAGAGGGCAAGGGCGGCAAAGTACGTAAGCGGCGCAGGAGTCAAGTCATCGTCCCACTCGAAGTTTTCGGCAACAATTTTACGATCGACCTCCGAAACAGACGTCTTCATCAAAGGCGCTGTGGCATACGCTTCCCGCGTGTTCTTGGAAACCACGTAAGGGATCTTCATTTTGATTTGTTAGAATTAAAATAAATAGTAAAATAACAGAACACTCGGATAAAATACTGAAAAATACTGTATTTTGAGTTTTTATTTTTTAATATGACCGGACTTGTTTATTATTTTCTGACAGTTACTTAACTTTAAAAAGGTTTCATTACTTTGTCGCGTATACCTATATACTGGGTGGAAACGTTAAGTTATCTCACTCGATTATTTCTAAACTATACAAGATATCGAAAAACTGATTACTGATTCTGAAAGTGCTTCATAAGCTCTTTCAAGCGGTACCAATAATAGGCTACAGAATAAACTGGATCTATCCGAAATATCAATGTTTCCAGCTTTCATACATTTAGTAAAACCACATAATATTAAAAACTATACAAGATATTCAAAAACTGGTCTGTGTACTGTGTGCCTACCATGAGTTTACGTAAGGTGTGCTCGCTAGCGACTGCGTAAATAAATGACATTTAAATGTATGACATATTGTGCAGCGCCCCTAGTGGCTACTTTCAAGAAATAAAATCTTCATAGAATTTTTTGACGTATTCGCTAGCGAGCTCACCTAACGTAAACTCATGGTAGGCACACTGATCCTGAAAGTGCTTCACGAGCTCTATCCAACAGTACCAATAATAATAGGTTACAAAATAAACTGGATCCATTCTAAAATTCAATGTTTTCAGCTTCCATACATTTAGTACAGCCACAGTCATGGCACTTATGTCCTGTTAATATTATAGCAAGTAAAACCTAAAACCAATGTTTTCTAAGAATAATTTTAAATAAGAATGCAATCCACGAGTTCATTTTAAGTGTTTATTATTTAATATAAAAAAAATTAATACTTCTATTATTGTCTGGCTAGCATACATTTAGTATGGAGGCTGAAAACATTACATTTTCGGATAGATCCAGTTAATTCTGTAACCTAATATTGGTACCGTTGGATAGAGCTTGTGAAGTACTTTCAGGATTAGTAATCAGTTTTTCGATATCTTGTATAGTTTAGAAATAATCGAATGAGATCACTTATCGTTTCCACCCTGTAGATAATTTCGTGTCCTTTTTTACTACACACGCTAGACAAGACATTCAAAGATTTTGCTAATGGGATTAGTTGGTTGTAGTGGTATCAGTATTTTTTTTCCGTATTGTGGACTATTACAATCACTATAATAACGCTATCTTTCTATTCAGTCTTTTACAAAGCTGAGTTTGGCTTAGAAAATAATTACTTCAGCAGGAAAAATTTGGTATTAAATTACTGATTTTCCTGGAATCCTTATTAATGTTTTAATAGGAATCTAAGAATGAAATAACTTCAATGATACTTTTTAGAAATATCAATATCAAAACTGTTGTTTAATGTAAACGTTGTTATGATGTCATTCATAATCGATTTAACTATATTTTTTTATTACCTAGGTAATTAACAAATCACTTGCATCATTTACGAATCCTAAATATTTCTCGTAGATCGATTAGTGTTGATTAAATCGTGGTCAAATGCAATCGTTACCGCTTATTTAAGCTAAATAGCGTCATTACAAACCACTTCCACGTCTTTGTGCCGGTGGGCAAGGTCCATCGCGTAAACTGATTCGGCTATCTCCGTCACCCATCGGCAGTCGTCGGCTCAAAACACAGCCGGCGTGTTTGGCCACAGTTCTGACACTTGTTATTGTACTGCCGAGAGTCGTGCGCGAGAGTGACTTCCCGAATTTAAATATTTAAATAAAAGCATTTGCTCAAGAGAAAAACAAAAGAAGAATGAATTCGGACAATAAGACGACCACCAAAAATCAAACTCCGACCCAGCATTCCAGCTACAATCCCTGGAATTTGTTATTCACATCGCGATCCCGTACTGAAAGTGAGAACAGCACAAGCTCAACAAGTTCTCAAAATTACCAGACAGGTATGTATGAATTTAATATTAATGCACATACGTAGAATTAGACAGTAGAATAATTAATACGTTATGTCTATTTTTGTCGCCTTTATTTGTTGGCGTAGTAGCAAAATACTTTGTGTGTATTCGAAGTAAAAGTTGTTTTAAATGTTGCATTTTTAACCAAGGCACTATCAGCACTATTGTGATAGGTACATATTTTCAATTTATAAAATTTATTTATAGCAACCCATGTGGGTGTGCTCATAATTTTAACACGCAGTAGTAATTAATATGACGCTTGTAAGAGTAGGAATATTTACTGTGTACAAAACAAAACGGTTACAGCACTTGAACTCAATTGAACAAGTATCAGTCTGCAGCATTGAAACGACTCTTGAATTTCCAAATAAACAAACTGCATCACATATTATGGAAGCAAAACTTAAATGTGTATGCGTGACGCACGTCGTGTAGGCCTAGCTATTTTTACTTTTACAATTTTTATCTCCTTTACCCTTTCATAACAACTCGGGGTCCATTACTCAGCAAAAATTTGGATATTGGCTTAATATCAGATACATTTTTTTTCTCCTAAATCACAGAATTCTGTAGACCCTAGTTATAAAAGCTGCTGCTTATTAGATTTATTAAAAAATGTCTAAATAGTGTTTTACAGATTTGCTTTCTGATTTTCCTAAATATCAAGAGCAAGAAAAAAAACAAAAAATTGAGTCCAGTAGTATTTCTAGAAAAAAAAAAGTAGGTAGAAAACTTTTTCAGCCTAAAGCCTAAAGCTTTAGTACTTTCGACCTGCTGTAAAATAAATATCTATGTAATAGAAAAGGTAATAGAAAAGTTTCTTATACCACATAAATGAAAACACTAAAGGAACAACGTTATAAATACAGTGGGCGTGGCATGATGTCGTTGGCATTTAGTTATTGAAACAAGTATGAAAACTAAACCTGTTCTATATACTTGCTAGCCATGAATACATACTAAACTAGCTTGGTCAGTTTGGTTAAACATACGCCTACTAAGATTTCGAAAATGTTTTAAAATTGCATGATAATAATATATTTTTCCTCTTAGAAGTATCATGGATATATCGTAATATTATCTTTGTCTAAGTATTAGCATTTCGCATCCTTCCAGTACATAGACCCTGGGATAAAATAACCCTTGACCTAAGTACCTACATAATAGATTTCCATAAAAATCGAACCCAAGGGATGCCAAGGGTCTTACAAAAATACCTGACAATTTTATCAACGCTTTTTATGTTCGTTAGCATCCGCTCGTAGGTAAATAAGTACTATTGGTGATGATGACTAAATTATACAGGTTTAGAAAATTATATAATTAATCTGATGACATTGAGAAAGCCCGTCACCTCCATTTTAACGTTCTACTAACGATTACTACACAATTAATAGCCGATTACATAACTTTTTGCGTCTTAAGTATTTATAATATCTGGGAATACTTAGAGCACCTTCACTAAATTGACGGTCACGAAATGTTTACCGGTTCAGTACACAGTGTTATCGCAACTTAAAGTTGGTTCATTGTCGAACTTGATAGAGACAGATTCAATCTTCGTAACTATGGTAGAGTTCCGCTGTATTCATAGTCTTACTGGGTAGGTTGTAAAATGAAGAGTCGAACTATTCTGTTTAAAAATAGCACCTATTACAAGTAACATAAGATGCCACAGTGTGTAGCCATGTGCCGTCTGCCTACAATGTTTCCCGGTACAGTTGTTATTATATTGATATTTTTGGGATCATTAAAAGTTCTTGTATGTTTTACCTCTCCAAACAATACAACTTTTTGTTATTGGATTATTTGCAGTAAACCTAAAGAAAATTAAGCATAATATAGTTGCTATTACATTGATGTTTTTGATATATTAAATAATGATCCGTAGCCAAAAAAGAGTACAAGAGTTGGTTCGCCGAATTTCCTTCACGATATTAAATAAAAGTTAAATATAGAGCATCCGGGAAATTATATCAATGATTTTATTATGAAGCTTGCATGAAAATTCTCTCGATATCTTTGAGGTCATTTTACAGGTAAAATTCTGTGAGCTTTGTTAAGGCATAAAGTACTTACATACGTATAACATCATTCCTTGCTATATGTATAGAACACTAGACCGGCTGTAAATACCTGCTGAACAACTGCAGTAACTGCCACTCCTTTGCCCTTTAAAAGTCAGTTAAAAACAAATAACAAAACATCAATATTGAGATTGGTTAAGCCGTATCATGTCCATATGTAGACTGTGACTCAAACTCGGCTCGTGTGCGTAGTTTATGCCGATAACAAAAGATTCTTGCACTTTTAGCCTTGATTAATAGTGTGGCAAGTAAAGTAACTGTATGGCTAGTTGTTACACACTGCTTTGCCCGATATTATTTTAATTTCAGTTACCAATTATGTAAAAACAGATTTTTTATAAAAGCTTCAGATGATATTCAAAATTAGCACGTGTTTCATATTTCTATTTTTACGTCAAAATGCCAATAATAATTTGTTTGTATTGGACTGGGTGTTTTCTATGTATAATAAGTATGTATTTACAAAAAAAAAGTATTCAAGTATGTTTATATCCGTTGTCTAGTACCCATAGTAGGGTAATTGCGCCGGTTTTCCGTCCAGCTCCTGTTTTCGTCCATTTGACCGACTTGCCACAAACAAATACCGNTTAAAAAAGTTTATTTTTATTATTATTACTTTGTATTATTGTCTATCGTATTATCTTTGTAAAACCAAAAATCGCATGTCTCTATCCCTATCACAACATATGCTATGATCGTTTACAAATAATACAAAGTAATAAAAACCACCGGTTATAGCGCCATTTTTTGGAGAAATTTATCAAATAACCAAAAAAACACGAATTTAAAAGCAGATTTTTTTCGAAAAGCATCATTGTTTATTATTTGTTGGCCTTTTTTGTGTATTTTATGTATTTTTTTAGTATCGCCTGTTATTTAGCATTATTACTGTTTTTATTTTATCAGGATGTACCGCTTAGTTCAAAAGTTATTACGTTTTCTTTACAATAAGTAATTGGAAGAAAAAAAAATCTATAAAAAATTAAAAAAAAATCTCAAAAAAATTTTGACCTTTTTTTGTCGATAAAA